GGAAAGAGGATGCCTTCAGCCCTGACTTTAAAAGGAAAACACACAAAGAATTTGCTTTTTCAAAGTGAATGAGGCAGATTAGTGTCACGTTTGAGGTCCCATTCGGCATCCGTTCTGGTGTGCAATCACTCTGAATGGTCTTTTGAAAATAATACTTCAAGTCCCTACAAAGGACGGAAAAAAAACATATTTCTGACTTTGCATGGTGTTAGGAAAAAAAAGCTAGAAGTCAAAGTAAGGGCTAGATCCTCACATTAGGCAGGCATGGAAAGTTCTCCTAACCGCTTGCACCAGCATAAAGCAAATAAAATTATTCCAAATACCCTTCCTGCTGCAAAATTAAAATGACGCATTTTCCTTCCAAATCAAATAAAACAGCTGCGGAATAACGTAGTATGGATATCTCTCTCCCACTCCCTCCCCACCCCCTTTCTCCCAGTATGCTAAACATCTATTTGCATTGACCATCATTCAGTACACCCATGTAAAGCTAGATCACTAAGTGGAGGACCTTCAACTACAGCAACCTTCAAGTAGCTTCAGTTAAACTGACTTTTTGCATCTCTTCATCTTCAATCCATGAAATAAATGACCTCATTCATATCATCCTGTCCTCAGTGCTGACTGATAAGCCCACAACGAGACCTCTACAGGTTGTGCAGTTGGTCTGTGGCCTGTAATACCCCTGCTCTACATCTCAGTTGAGAAGTCATTATCGTCTCTCCCACAACATGTTTCCAAAAACCCTTTCACTCAGTTGTACAGAGGTGACTATAAATAGAGGCACTGCTATTTGGAAAGCTCAGGAATTCTTTATAAAACAGCTTGAGTCAGTGCGGTTACCAGCTGATAATTAAACCACTTAAGTCTAAGACAAGTCCAGAAGATACTCTTCTTGAAAACTAGGTACAACTGCAGTTTGTCACAAGTGAGGGAGAAAAATTCCACTTTATCTTGAAAAGTTCCTGCCCACCCTTCAAGCTGAAAGTCCACTTGGTGTAAAGTTAATGAAAAATGTGTGTCTTTTGCATGTGTCTTTGGCATGAAGTCAGACAATGGCTTGGGTGGGCCTCGTGTTCTTGGAGAAAGAAAGCTGGGATTTTGCCTAGAGCATACATCCTGCTTATTTCTCAGCTACCACTGGGGTGCTGTACAGGCACTGATGTGATGATGGCATTCAACTCCTTCTGTGACCAAGGAATTAGTTACTCTCTCTGCATTTCAGGACCACCTCCATAAATGAAGAGACTTTCTCCGTCTCTAAAAAGGACAGCGAGAGGCCCGATATAACAAAGACTGGGAGGCACTCAGCTAATGCAATGATGGAGCCTATAAAAGCATCTAGGAAATAAAAAGAAGTTAGATGACTGCTGTCCTTTCCCCTTACCTGTGGGGACACCAGTGGTAAAAGATGGTACAAACCAGTGAGTGGTAGCTATGAAGCTGCTTCCCAACAGCACTGGTAGCAAGGACAACACAACATTCCTTTACTATTGATCTTCATGCGGCTGATCTAATCAGCTAGAGGCAGGAAAGCAAAGGAGGACTAAGGTGGTACTTACTATCACTGCCATTTCAAATTGTATTTCATTAACGTGTAGGAAAGGATTTTAGTGAGAGACTACTTAATCCAGTTTAGTATTTACAGCTGAAATGGGTAGTGACTCAATACTGCATTATTTCTGTCAATAACAGCAGTGAGACAAGGTGTCACGGGTAACCCATCTTGGAAAACTTTTTAACTAAGTGCCTGATGCTGACTATTATTTTCAATTAACTCAGAGCAGGCTTGGGAAAAATGTTCCAGAGTGAAAATAATACAGCAACTGGAGCAATTCAGCATTCTCTTCAGGAAAGATTTTAACAACTATGTTTTGTAGATTGCTGATGAAATGTAACCACCTCTTAGGAGTAGACTGCAGTCAACCAGCACATTCATGCATGGCAATGAAGCAGCTGACTGCGTCTCAACACTGGGAGGAACTGCTCTATTCTTCAAAAGAAGCCTTGAGGATCATTCACGTACGTAAGAGTGGGCAGTAGCTTCTCTTCCAAAAGATCCCCCAGTAATCAGGACTCATGGTGCTCAGTGTTATCTGTCCAGCCTTGGAAGTCTAGACCGTGTTAAGCATGGATTTAAATCTGTCACTCACAAACATCACGGGCCAGCAGCAGTCTTGCTAGTGAGCTGTTTCTTCTTGCTATGCTTTTGTGTTCTCTTGGCTTTAATACAGTTATCT